CTGTAATACCAATACACACCATTGCAATGATATTATTTAACCAGAAAATATATGTTGTTGCATTCTTTGATGGATAAATAACCTAGGGAAAAGTGTTTTGGAGATTTATACAGACATTGCTATGGCAATAGTATCTATAGGATGAATTGTAGGATTGTCTACTGCCATAGCCCCAAAACTGTTGGCACTGATGAGCGGTAATGCTGTGTATTATTGTTCTGAAATATTGAAGCCCCAGCAGGCAGGTAGGGTAGAGGTGATTGCTTACATCTGCAAAGACCTGAGAATTATAGAGGTTGGGGTTATCCTACCTGAGCAGGCTCCGGATGATGACTATCCCATACATAACTATTTATAAGCTAACTTACCTTAACATTATATAATCCAGCTATGCTAGGATAAGGTAAGCTGATTATTATCTAAGACAAGCTAGTCTAGCATAGCTTAGGATAGCTGACTTAGAATAGCTGGCCATAATCTCTTACCCTGTCCCTTAAACCTGTTCAGACTCATTTTGCCATCCTAAACTAGCTTTTTGGACTTAACTAGGATTGTTTTACTTCATCTTTCTACATGGAAAGAGCTACATGATTCTCCATTTCATGAAATTCAACATGGTGTACCACCACCAGGTAAGCATATGGAGATCAGATTTTACATGCTTTTGAATTCGTCTGTAAGTAAAATGAATGGAATTCAGTCATGGTAATTCATGTTATTTTGTCCAGGTTGAGGGCTTGTCACAAGCATTATGGCCAAACTTAGCATTGATAAAGTTGTTAATGACCAAATAAAACTGGTATGTCCAGCACAGGCAACATTATCAGGTAGCATCATTAGCTAATCCTGTGGGTCCGACAGATGGTTATGCTGTAAATGATTTAGGAAGTGTTGTACATGTTCATCTTTATGGGCCATAATGTTTTTCTCCCTCTGTGTTTTGCCAGCACTTACATCTCTTACAGCCTTGAGCAAATTGACTTAGTAACATGTAGTGCAAAACAGGCTATGTCTCTTACTGAACATGACTATGACATTCACTTCACCACCAAAATCTGTAGTCATGAGTTTTGGAAATGGATTGGTGCAGGCTGTCTTTTATGATTACAAGCTGAGCAGTTGTAAGGCATGCCAGCCCCCAGTGTGCTCACCTGGCCAGTCTGTTTGGTCTGTATCCACCCATCTGTCTGACTTGGAATGTGGTAACACATGACTAAACATGAAGTTGACTTGAAAATGATGTTTGTTGTAGTGTATCACACATAACAAGCAATAAAAACCACAGTTGATGATAGCTATGTTACACATCTGCTTCTTGTGTATTGCAGGTGCAGCTGCAGCACCTGACTGTGCAGACCGGGCCAGCTTCCACAACAGTCAGCCGGCCAGGGAGCCGCGGGGCAAGATGGCCGCCTTCGAGGAGTTGGGCATCATGCCGGAGATCGGCGAGGCCGTCAGCGAGCTGGAATGGCTGCTGCCGACGGACGTGCAGGCCGAGGCCGTGCCGCTCATCCTCGGCGGCGGTGACGTGCTCATGGCCGCCGAGACGGGCTCCGGCAAGACGGGCGCCTTCTGCATGCCCATCCTGCAGATCGTCTGGGAGACGCTGAAGCGACTGCAGGAGGGCGGCAGGCAGCGGCGCGGCGGCGCCGGCCCCGGCCGCCGACCCGGGTTGGCGCATGTCGCTGCGGGACCGCGGAGACCTGCTGGCCGTCACGCCCGACGGCCTGCGCTGCCAGTGCCGCGAGCAGCGCGCCTGGCACGGCGGCCGCGCCACGCGCGCCCCCTGCCGCGCCGGACGCTGGTACTACGAGGCCACGGTGACGGACGAGGGCCTCTGTCGCGTCGGCTGGTCCACGCGCCAGGCATCGCTCGAACTGGGCACCGACCGCGGCGGCTACGGCTTCGGCGGCACCGGCAAGAAGTCCAACAACCGCCAGTTCGACGACTACGGCGAGCCTTTCGGCAAGGATGACGTCATTGGCTGCTTTTTGGACCTGGACGGCCTGCAGATCCGCTTCTCCAAGAACGGCGGGGACCTGGGGTCGGCGTTCGATGTGACGAAGCAGGCGGCCAGCGAGGGCCTCTTCCCCGCCGTCGTGCTCAAGAACGCCGAGATGGCGTTCAACTTCGGCGACGCGCCGTTCAAGCACCCGCCGGGCGACGGGTACCAGGCGGTGAGCGCTGTCCCCGAGCAGGACACCGTCACCAACGCCGCGTCGGCCGCGCCCGCCTCCAAGCGCGTGTACGCCAAGAACGCGCCGCAGGCGATCGTGCTGGAGCCGTCACGGGAGCTGGCTGAGCAGACGCTGCGCCAGATCCAGCTGTTCAAGAAGCACCTGAAGCCGCCGGCCGTGCGCGAGGCGCTGCTGATCGGCGGCGTGCCGGCGCGCGAGCAACGCGAGCAGGTGCAGGGCGGCGTGGACATCGTGGGGGCCACGCCCGGCCGGCTGGAGGACTTCATCAACAACGGCGACGTGCGCGTGGACGCGTGCCGCTTCCTGGTGCTGGACGAGGCGGACGGCCTGCTGACGCAGGGCCACGAGAAGATGATCGGCCGGCTGCACGCGGCCATCCCGCAGGTGACGCCCGACGGGCCACCGGCTGCAGATGGTCGTCTGCTCCGCCACGCTGCACTCGTTCGAGGTAAAGCGCATGGCTGACAAGCTGATGCACTTCCCCACGTGGGTCGACCTCAAGGGCGAGGACGCCGTGCCGGAGACGGTGCACCACGTGCTGTGCATGGTCGACTCGCGCACGGACGCCTCCTGGGCGGCGCTGGAGCGGCGCGTGCAGACCGACATGGTGCACGCGCAGGACGCCGTGCGCGCCGGCTCCGGTTCGGCGGAGACGCTCTCCGAGGCGGTGAAGCTGCTCAAGGCCGAGTACTGCCTGCGCGCCATAGACGTGCACAAGATGGACCGGGCGCTCATCTTCTGTCGCACCAAGCTCGACTGCGATAATCTGGAGCGCTACCTGATGCAGCGCGGCGGCGGCCCGCGGCGCGCCGACAACCCCTACTCGTGCGTCTGCCTGCACAGCGACCGCAGCGTGGCCGAGCGTAAGGACAACCTGGAGCGGTTCAAGCGGCAGCAGGTGCGCTTCCTGATCTGCACGGACGTGGCGGCGCGCGGCCTCGACATCACCGGCCTGCCGTTTCATGATCAACGTCACGCTGCCCGACGAGAAGACCAACTACGTGCACCGGATCGGCCGCGTGGGCCGCGCCGACCGCATGGGCCTGGCGGTGAGCCTGGTGTCGGCCGTGCCGGAGAAGGTGTGGTACCACGGCTGCCCGTCGCGCGGCAAGAGCTGCATGGACACGCGACTGACGGAGCGCGGCGGCTGCTGCATTTGGTACGACGAGCCGCGCCTGCTGGCCGACATCGAGGACCACCTGGGCGTCACCATCCCGCAGATCGGCACGGACCTGCGCGTGCCCGTCAACGAGTTCGACGGCCGCGTGGTGTACGGTGAGCGGCGCCAGGCGGCCGGCTCCGGCTACCAGGACCACGTGCAGCAGATGGCGTCGTCGGTGCGCGAGCTGGCCTCGTTGGAGACGCAGGCGCAGACTCTCTTCATCCGGCGTCACCTGCACCGGCTGGCGGCCTGAGCTGCCCGGCAGGCGGCGGTCTGCCCTCTCCCGGACCGGCCTGGGCCCGGCCAGCCCGTGTCCCAGACGGCGACGACGGTCGCGTGGTGCCAACTGCATGTGCTTCATGCAGAGTGGTGGGCTTGGTTTTGTTGCTGTTTTGTGTTAAACGCGGCTTGCAGGTCCGGCTGCGCGACACTTTGGGGCCAATGTGTTCGCGTCAGGCATAATACATGGCCATAGAGCATGGCTGGTTGACTTCAGTTGGTTCACCAAACTCGTTTCTTATAAACCATCGTGGTGAGGCTAAGATAAGGCTGTTCATGATTAGCTTTTACAATTGCGAATACTGGAAATAAGTTGCCTTGCCGGCGCCAGCGATAGACATAACGGTCAGCGAGTTTTGCACTGACGTAAAGGGATCACCTTGCGAAATGCAGCACCACTGTCTCCCGGTACAGTGTCCACCCACGCTGCTCACCTACGCCCATACATCGCTGTTCGCCGCGCACACTGGACATGAGAATCGAGGCGTTCTTGCCCCAGCATGTTTCACTTCACCGCCTGCTCCGTGTTGCAGTGGTGAATATCTTCTCAATCTATTCTCCGCATTCGTCACCAGGATTTTACGGAGGGAACCGGCTATCCTTCTGCTTCGGGAACCAAAATGGGTTTGTAGAACAAACTTATCCGTGAGTAGAATTAAAGGTATTATGCACGAGCAGTCACGCTTTTAACGGTCATCGGTCGATGGACACTGCACTCTAGCGGGATGATAACACTAGCGGGACCCCTCCGTCTGGCGCAGCTGTGGCAGAACACCGAGCGCTGCGCCTACATTTGGGAACGGCGATGCGATTTATTTGTGGGGTTCTTGGGTATTTCGTTGTTGTCGGACAATATTAATGACCTTAAAACGTGTCCTTGATTCAATTTCGAGACCGGATATCAAGGTGCACCGTTATGGAACCCACGAACCGTACAGAAAACCGGCACTCAGCATTGTACCTCACAGTGGCGCCGAATGGGTACGCACGAAGCTCTTCAGCCGATTGACATCGCAGTAAAGTCGCCAGCTGGTTTACTTCTCTGCATGGCCCTTGGATTCCCCCGAGCAGCATCCTTCTGACCAACGCTCGACCATGCACGTATCTCCCATCTCCACCGGCGTCCGCCAGAGTCGCCATCTCCCGCGGGGACGAGGTCTCCCAGAACGCGCGCCACCCCGGCGTCACCCGCCCCGCCAGCACATGGCGAGTCGCAGGGCAGTAACGCCAAGCGGCGCGCCACCTGCCGAACCGGCCGCATCTGCCGCACCCCAACCGGCTTCAGTCGGCCTCCGCCCGAGAATGCAGAGGGGCTGGAGCCGCCCCGGAGCCTCCGCCGCCATACCAACCAAACGCCGACCTCAATTCGGATAAAATATATGCAGCAGTGACCAAACGCAGACACGAGCGATCCCGACGCGCGGCTCCGAACGTAGCGGCGATTTACTCCAGAGATAAATCAAACACAAGAATAAGGGCATCGGTACCTGCGATGCCACCAACCCAGAGCAGAATGACCAACGCGGCCGTCGGATAATCCGGTAAGCAATATAGCGGAGTCAGTGAGCTGAATGCCCGGCGCAAAAGAAAGGAAAAACAAGGCTCGCCGAGTGGCAGCCGGCGATACGGCCATCTACCGGCGGCGGAAGTCGCCTCCGACCGCGGCCGGCCCACGCTCCACATGTGTACAGGATCTCCAGACGTCAGCGGTGACGACACCACCTCGCAGGGACACCGAGAGCCCACCATATCGTGCAAGTGCCGACCGCCCTCCCGACGGAGCGAGACCGCGGCGCCGGGCCGGGCGCCGGCGCCTGCCTTCATCACAGTGGGGCAGAAGCGCCGGCCGAAAACCCAACAACGCACAAGCTCCGCAGACGCGCGCACGCACACGCACACATAGATATCCTGCTCTCATAACAAGGCGGCGCCTTCGGGGCCCTTCACGACGTTGACATTGGCCAGGAACATATATCAACTATAAAACTCATCCGCCCTCGGAAACGGGCGCGTTTCCCGTGCGTTGCTGAATATGCATAATGTTGACGCCGCGATTCTAAAACACGGCCGGCTCGGCGTGGCGACACGCCGACCGGTTTCGGGTCTGCTCGGCTCGTGAAAGACCCCGGGAGCTGGACGCGACCGCGTCCAGAGCCGTCTCCTCGTGGCGCGCCGGCCGTCGCACGCTGCGTGGCCCGATCGTCACGCGGCCCGTCACGACCGGTCGTCACGGCGGCGCGCTCGGCGGCACTGCCTCTGTCCTCGGTCGCGTGCCCGGCGGCAGGCTGGGCGGCGCTGGCCGTTCGGCTGGGACGCACTAGAACTCGAAGTCGGGCTGCTGTCCCGAGTCCAGCGGCGCGGCTGCCACGATCGGGTCCACCGCCGCCTGCGAGCGAGGCACGGGTCAGCTGCGGCGCCGCGTCTCTCCTCGCCGCACCAGTCACGGGTGACGCCCCCTGCCCGGCCAGCATCGCTGCCCTCCTCTAGAGCCAGCTGTCAGCGTTCCATCTCCAACCCACACGCGCCACAAACTGGCACCGAGACGCCACACTTACGGTGTGGCGCGCAAACACGACGCGGCCTCCCGGCTACAAACCCGCGTCACCGTGCGCCTGCCTCTTCCGGGAGGCCGGCCAGCGCCGCTCACCTCCAGATCGTCGGAGAAGTAGCGCTCGATGATGTCGAAGGCCAGCTGGTAGATGTCGGTGTTCTCGTGGTTCTGGAGCGCCTCGATCTTGTCCAGGCCGCCGCATTCCTCCACGATCTGCGCCACCGGCTCCACGTCCTCGCTCGACTTGAGGATGTTGTTCAGGCCGTCCAGCACCACGTTCACCACCTGGTCGGCACAGCGCACGGGTCTGGCCACTGGCGAGCCGGTGCCCAGATATGCCCGGATCACCCGTACGACTGCTCTGGCGCCGTCACAACACGTCGGGAGCACGCAGGGGAGGTGTGGCACGAAGCCAAATGGGAGGTTGTAGGCACAGGCCCAGCAGAAACGTGAACAGACGAATATGATCCACCTATCACAAGTCCCTCGTCTTTTAAAGCTATCTTCAATGACCCACATCCACCTGTGGGTCCTCGCAGCACATCACCTGACCTGTCCCCACCTGCGGGTCCTTACAGCACATCACCTGACCTGCCACCCACCTGCGGGTCCTTACAGTCGAGCAGCTGGCACATGGGCGGCACGCCGCCGGCGCGCACCAGGTGCTGGATCTGCTCGGGCGAGCCGCTGATGGTCAGGTTGCTGATGCACCAGGCGCACTCCTTCTGCGTCTGGAACTCGCCGCAGCTCAGGTGCTGTACCACCAGCGGCACCAAGCCGTGGTCGATCACCAGCTGCACCTGCTCCTTGTTTCCGGCCGTGATGTTGGAGAGGAACCAGGCCGCCTCCTGGCGGCAGGGGGAGGGGGGCGGGGGTAAGCACAGCGCGGCCGGTCGCCCCAAAGTCACACGCATACACTGAACACTGTCCAGCGCCACCCGCGACGGCCAGCGACGAGAGGCTGAGCAGACTGCAGCCCAGACTTGAGCCCGAGACGTGCCGTCACCGACACATCCGCTTCACTGGCGCCAACGGATGTCATCTGGTACGCCAGCCCCGCGCCAGGCGGCGGCAGCAGCTGTCAACCACCGGTGCCCAGTGCTCACCCTCACCAGCGCGCTGGCCAGGCCGAGCCGCTGGCTGCTGATCTGCGCAGAGCGTCTGTCCTACTGCCGTCCCCGCGGGTGCTCACCTTGTTAATCTTGTCGCGGGGGTGCTGCAGCAGGCCGGGGAAGTGCTGCAGCGCGCCGCAGTTGAGCACCTGCTGCGTCTGCTCGTCCGTTCCCGTCACGATGTTGCCCACCGCTCGCAGCGCGGCCGTCTGAACCTGCCGGCCGCCAGGCGACGGTGAGCGCCGCTCGGCACCGCCGGCCGCCTCGCACTGACGGACGGCTCGGCCGGCGCCGGCGGACGCGGCCGGAGAACCACGACCGGACCGGGCCCCTGGCGCAGCCCGCGACAGCGGGCCAAGCAGGGCGCGCGCCGGACGACACCGCGGAGCCGGCAAGGGTGCCTGGCATCACGACCGCCGCCAAACACGCAGGGTCAGGAGGGGGAGCGGGGCGATAATGTTCGCCCGTCCCGCCACACGCGACCCTGGGCTGCCCACCTTGGTCTCGCGGTGCGAGAGGAGGGGCACAAGGCGCGGCGCCACGCCCGAGTCCAGCACCATCTGGATCTGATCGTTGCCGCCGTCCGTCAGGTAGCTGATGGCCCAGACTGTGTCCACCAGGATGTTGGCGTCCGTGTGCTGGATCAGCACGTTCAGAGAGGGCAGCAGCTCGCCAATAGTGTCCGGCGACGGCGGCGGCTTGTTGTTCCGGCAGAGGTTCACCAGCACCTGACAGAAGCGCGGGGGTTTACGTACGGCAACACGGCGGACGCCTACCAGCGCCTCCGAATGGACCGAATGTTGACCACCATGTATCACATAACGTCAGTCTCACCAGCGTCTGGAAACAATGGACAGGCTCACCAGCATCAGTGCCAGGGGCAGATGATCGTCGACATGTGATGAAGGACATCGTCACCATGATGTTATGCCATCATCCTTAAACAGCACACAAGACACCAGCGTCTGACAACAGCACACGAACTCACCGGCGCCCGCACCTGATTACCAGATCGGGCCGCTATAATCAGCAACTGACACCAGGGCGGCCGCTCGACCGCGCCAGCGGGTGAGCAGTTGGGGGAGTCAACCTCACCTCCAACTCGCAGCTCCGCCATCACGACTTCACAGAGTCCTCCTAACCTCAGACACCATCCTCCTCCAAAAATCAAGGCATATTCACGCGCAAATAAACAAACCAGGGAAATCTCTTTCTATTTCATTCGAATGGCACGATGACGCGACCTAAGCCACAACAGGTGACAGCATTTAGGGCGCCCTTAGTGCACTCATCCACAACAGCACACCGATTTTGCAACACTACACCACTGCCGGGACAGCATCTAACAAAAGAGTTTCACCAACACAAACCCGCATAACAGAGGTTTATCACCTGACAACAGGACACAGGCATACAAACATGCACCTAATAAGGTCAGCGGTTTCACGGGGCCCGATACGCTGGCAGCGGAGCACCAGCACATGGTCTCTTATATTACTGTCCACCTGTCATCACCTACCGCTCGTCATAAGCAGATATCGGTTACCTGTTATTGCCATCATTGGTGCACTTTTGGGCGCGTCTGACAGATAGCTAGCAAAATTAATATGTTTGTCTTCTAAGCCGAGCTATTCATCATCATCCGCTCCTTCCATCTGTGCTTGCAATGTGAAATACGAACCGCGCCGTTTTCAACAAATATAAGCGAGTAGCGGAGAGCGCGGTCCGGTCGTCACGTACCCAGGTGACGTTCCTCAGAAAGTTGAGCGGTATTTCGTCGCTGATGAAGGCTATCAGGGGCGGCACGATGCCCAGGCTAATGACGTAATCACGCAGCTGCGGCCCGTCCCCGATGATGTTCCCTGCGGCAGGCGGCAGGCGTCAGTGGCCGTCCAGGGTCGGCGCGGGAAGCCGCGCAGACCCGATCCCGCCGGCTGGTCCGGCAGGCAGGAGAGCCGAATATAGTGGGCATCTGTCGTAATAGCGGACATGACCACCGCACAAAACATGACGCGTATGTAGTTGTACAAGAGGTGAATAGTAGGCGAGCATTTGAACATATTGGCTTGGTCCCTAAACCATGTAGCTCCCACTACATGCAAACTTGTAACAGTTTGGCATTTCTATCACTTTCACATCACTCTCACACGTGTCTGTCTGTCTGTCTGTCTGTCTGTCTGTCTGTCTGTCTGTCTGTCTCTCACTCTCCCGCATTCGTCCGCTCTCTTCATCCCCCACCGTCCACCCTTCCGTTCTTCCGACCAACGGCACGACAACCCAAAGGCCTACACGCTGCCCCTCTCTCCCTCCCTTCTTCCTCGTTCTCCATTTCCCTCTCCTCCCCTTCTTTCTCTTCTCCTTCCTCCTTCTCTTCTCCTCCCCCTCTATAACTGCACTGTCCAATAGTAATGTAGTTCGGCGTTACCATGTGAGATAGCTTCAGCAGGCGCCAACAAACCGCGGAAAAGCACCGAGGACCAAGCAGGCACCAAAAACAACCAGCCATAAAGATGATCCGCACGCGGGGATCAGACCACCTTCGCAGTTGCCCAATGGAAACAAACACTCTTTCTGGGGTGAGCGGACTCCGAGGTGCCTCATTAGAAGCTTGTTAGAGCACGAACGGCACCGGCAATTCTCCACGCTCAGCCAGGCGGCAGTCAGAATCCGGCGGAGCTTCGTGAGCCCGCTCATTTAATGGGAACGGATCCTGTCATCTCTGGCGATAACACCACTCGATCAGTCCTCAGCAGCGGTCCCAGATCGGCGCCCAAGGGCCGTGTCACTACTAAATCGTTTGACGATCCACGTCACGCCGCTCAGGGTCCGGCGCCCGTATCGCCATCCTGAACGCGTGTCACCGATCCACCGCGCCCGGGTCGCCGGTCACAATGGCACCCGCCGCGCGACAGTGCCGGCGCGCGCGAGGGTTTACTACCGCGGGCGTTGGCAGCGCGAGCGCGCGCCGCTGGCTTCCGGCCGGCGAGCCGCACGGCCGCGCCGGTGAGCAACATAATGGACGGGACTCACGCATGAGGTAACAGTAGCCGGCAGCGGTGCGGCACACAGCGTCGCCGCGTTGAGGGGACATTACGTAATGACATTAGCGGGTACGATGACGATCGTTCTTCATGCTTTTTAACGAGAGGAATTATGAGAGTTTGGCGAAGGTCATGTACCATGAATTGTGAACATTGGGTTCCTATTATGACGGTGATAGGTGACACATATGACATTCGTTGTGTAACCGAAGGTGATATAAATTGAAGTAAGTATGGGGGATGGTGGTTGTATGCTGGTTTCCAGAAACATATTCTCTCTCTCTCTCTCTCTCTCTCTCTCTCTCTCTCTCTCTCTCTCTCTCTCTCTCTCTCTCTCTCTCTCTCTCTCTCTCTCTCTCTCTCTCTCTCTCTCTCTCTCTCTCTCTCTCTCTCTCTCTCTCTCTCTCGCATTCGTCCGCTCTCTCTCTCTCGCATTCGTCCGCTCTCTTTCTCTCGCATTCGTCCGCTCTCTTTCTCTCGCATTCGTCCGCTCTCTTTCTCTCGCATTCGTCCGCTCTCTTTCTCTCGCATTCGTCCGCTCTCTTTCTCTCGCATTCGTCCGCTCTCTTTCTCTCGCATTCGTCCGCTCTCTTTCTCTCGCATTCGTCCGCTCTCTTTCTCTCGCATTCGTCCGCTCTCTTTCTCTCGCATTCTTCCGCTCTCTTTCTCTCGCATTCGTCCGCTCTCTTTCTCTCGCATTCGTCCGCTCTCTTTCTCTCGCATTCGTCCGCTCTCTTTCTCTCGCATTCGTCCGCTCTCTTCCTCCCCCATCGTTCATCCTTCCGTTCTTCCGACCAACGGCACGACAACCCAAAGGTCTACACGCTGCTCCTCTCTCCCTCCCTTCTTCCTCGTTCTCCATTTCCCTTTCCTCCCCCTCTCTCTGTTCAACAGATCCAGTACAAAGCACGGAAAATCGTTCCCAGGCCGGCCCCGCGTCACCGTGCCGGTGGTGATCCCATGTGTCTTGACGTCAGCCTGGCGCCGATGTGCGCGGAGGTCGGAGGCCGGTGCGGGGCCAGCGACTTACCCAGCGCCCAGACGGCCTGTTCGCAGACCTGCGGGTGCGGCGAGCGCAGCAGGCGCAGGAAGTGGGGCGTGGCTCCGGCCTGCACCACTGCCTCCGTCTGCAGGCTGGTGCCCGACGCGATGTTGGTGAGCGCCCAGCACGACTCGAACTCCAGCGCCGGGCTGCTGGGACGGCGGGCGTGTGAGAACCCCAGCACGGTCACGGTCATGCTCTACACACCAACCTAACTCTAACATGAACGCGATCAGGACCTTGCCAAGGCTCCTACCCCCCAGCCGATGCTCGAGTAGTCCAGCCATGATCGGCTTAATTTAAAAGAAACGATTGTGTCCAAATGCCCGAGGCAGTAGTCCGAAAAGGATAAGCGTAAAAAAAAACGCTCGGTACGTTAGTAAAGGCCACAGGTGCCCTATAGAAACGCTGGCGGGTCTACTATTTCTGTGAACATGCCTCAGCTCTCACTGAAAACAGTTTGGTAAGCCTCCTCTCCAAGTACCCACATTCTCACTAAGCCTTCATCTGTCCGTAAGTCAGTCGGTGCAAACAGGCCGTCAGACGGCTCGACCCCCTGCTCACGCGGCAGTCTCCTTCCTTGTGGACCGGACCAGAGTCCAGACCCTCCACCGCCTTCCTCAGCCCTCCACCCACCAGCCCACGTGTGCCGGCGCCCGTGACCTCCGCCTTGCCCTGCCCGGCGTGGTTCCCCTCAGCTCACCCCGCCCGACTCACTCATCCTCGGCCTGTAGGCAGTGTACCAGCACGGGCAGCACGCCGCCCTGCACCAGCGCGTCGATCGGAGGGTTTTTGTCGGAGCTGAGCAGTTTGCGGATGGCCTGCACGGCGGCGAGGCGCGCCTGCGGCTCGCTGCCGGCTGCTGCCGCCACCAGCGCTTGCAGGCTGGCCGCCGAGTGCGGACGGTCGGATAGCTCTCCGTCTGATGGTGAATGGGGTGGCTCGGTGAGCGGCCGGGATGGCTCGGTGAGCGGCTGGGGCGGCTCGGTGAGCGGCTGGGGCGGCTCGGTGAGCGGCTGGGGCGGCTCGGTGAGCGGCCGGGGTGGCTCGGTGAGCGGCCGGGGTGGCTCGGTGAGCGGCCGGGGCGGCTCGGTGAGCGGCCGGGGCGGCTCGGTGAGCGGCCGGGGCGGCGGCTCGGTGAGCGGCCGGGGCGACTCGGTGAGCGGCCGGAGCGGCTCGGTAAGCGGCCGGGGCGGCTCGGTCAGCGGCAGAGGAGACTCGGTCAGCGGCAGAGGAGGCTCAGCCAGCGGCCGGGGCGGCTCGGCCAGCGGCAGAGGCAGCTCAGCCAGCGGCCGGGGTGACTCACGCTGGGTGATACGGCCACGGGGCGAGACAGGACCGCTCATCGCTGGCGCACTCTGACCTGGACAGATATGCCGGCCCCGACACAGCACGAAGAGCTGTGTATATATTTCTCGGCTAAAAAGGGACGATGCGCGGCTGTTTACCACGGTCTCCTGCTTCTTGCAGCCAGATCTGAGCGCTACCTCCGGATCGGAGAACGCGGAAGGTGAGCGGTTATGACTACCGCAGCGACGCCGATGGGGCAACTGTTGGTTGGCATACAAAATCAGAAGGAAATCTCAGCACCAGCAATTCTCAAAGGCCTTGATAAATGGCTGAATAGCGTCAAAACCTTTTTTCACGCTAGGGAACACCAGAGCAAATCGACAGATGAAAAGTTGCAGCAATGATTGCGGTACTGTGGTAAAAAACGAATAGAAATGTGTAACCAAGGCAACTCAATAACGGATGTAACTGAACACGAAGAGGCCACGCCCTGAGCGCAACGGAGAAGTAGCTGAGAAATTACGGAACAAACACGAGCAACAATCTGCACAGACACTTCAGGTCGCGGAGTTATGCATATGCCCTTGGTTATCATCCATGGTGTCTAGAGATAACTGGACGTACAGGGAAATGTGTTGTGCAATGCCTTTGTGCTTGAATCCTAACACTGAAATCACAACACACGGATAAATTCGCCCCTTTTAACAAGTTTGTAGTGCGATATAATCACATACTTGACAAACATAACGGCTAATTCAAGGGTATAAAGACAAAAAAGCGTTAAGTGTGTTAGCATGCTTCAAAGACTATGAGAACATGTTTCAAATGAATAATTTAGTGACCTTTCAAAGATTCGTTTCCGACGCTATTGTAACCTTTGACTATATATCTTTCTTTACTTTCACAATGCCTTAAGCTTCAACACGCGGTACATCCCAGGAGTGCCATCAGAGCTGTTGTTTCATCAGAGGAGTACCACCAGAGCTTAAGTTGTTGTTTTTCCAAGATCGAGGTAGGTTTATCCAGAGACTTGGTGGAAGGCGCTTGAATGGCAATAAGATGCGTCATGGCCGGGCAGCAGCGTTAATGACTGCCAGCGCGACGGGTTTGATGCAAAAAGAACGAGACGCACGTTTTCGGGCGTCCTTTTACGGGACAACACCGACAGCGGAGGCCATATTGACATTCAGGTGTCATGGGTCTACCGAGACTGGGCCCCACACGGGAGCCGAAGGTGCTAACCACTCGGTCAGCGACTGCAGAGGTCCTATTAGCGCTCAAGGACTATGTTTCCACGGAGAACCGAACATCGGGTCCCCGGTGTGGGAGCCTCGGGTGCTAACCACTCGGCCATTATTACTCCACTCACAAAAACTCGACCACTGAGAGATCAAGACCACGGCCTTCCAAGACCATTTGGCTATCAGGCTGGAACATCATATCATACACAGTTTGGACCACCTTGGCAGCGGGGGTAGTGTTCACTCAACAGGCTGTGATTAAAACGTCTACAGCCCCAACGCTTTTAGAACACACAATTCATCAGGCTAAATAACACAAAAACAGCTGTCGTTCAAGCTGGAAGCCACAGCTCGCAATAACAACCGCCAGCAATTAAACAATCACATGGTGGTTTTGGGAAGACAAACGACCTGGCGGAAACAACGGCAGAACATAACAAAGCACGCGGAGCCGATGCCACCTGCTACCACCGTAATTTTCAGCGGTCGGCAGTCAGATGAAATTGCCAGAGATTTACGAACGCGGACGCAGCAGAGGGCATAAAAACACCACACATTTCCCGGACGGCACGCTGCCTGATCGCACCTGATACATCCGCATGGGCGGGCACATTTCTGCGCTTCTGCAGGGTTTCCTCGCGCTTATGCTTCCTGAGCTCCACCGTTACCTCATTTCTTCTTCTTCGCATTTCCTGCAACACATAAATGACGAGATGAAGTCATGTATTCTTTACAGTTTCATTTGGCATTTGTGAGGACGAAAGAGATGTGCGAGCATATCCCAACCAACATGCCACACATATTCGGATGCGAGCTGGTGATAAATCACGCAGTCTGTCAGTCCGTCAGGATTTGACCTTCGCCCGCGTCAGTGGTTTCAACGCCAACGACCAGCCGCCGATTCCATACGTGATTAGCTCAGAGGAAAAAGCCGCGTTAACAGATCAAAAACTGCATCTACACTGTTCGCTAGAACTTCTTGCAATGACGCATATCGTCTTTTGCATTTCATAGAGGTCACATTAGCACCTACCAGACCCCTCATGTGACATGAGGAATTAAGCTGGCTGCAACAATGAGGAAAACGACGCTGAATAGCTTATAGAAAACGACGTTGAATATGACTAACTAATGGAAAACTCAGAATGTGCACGGCACACCTGAACATCGACAAGTCTGGCCTGTGATATTTCCTGGCAGGTAAAAGACGAAGAGTTGTGTCGCATTGGCCGCCACCAATCGGGATGGGACAATGCCCAAGGGGTCACGACGAGAGTCCCAGAGGAGGGGGGGGGGGGGGATTGCCATGTCAACCTGCACTTTCATGCCCCACGTGCAGAGGCTAGGTCAAGGGTTAAAATTTGAGTCAATTCATGACTGTGAGACTCGAATACCGCCGGTCATTAACTCTTGTTTTGAGACAGCACATCTAGCGGCGTTTCCGTTCCAGACGAACATGGAAACTACCCGTTCTACTTTTTCAGCTCATCGGACGAGTGACGGGGCAGCATTGCAAACTAATGCAATAGTTGTAACCAACAACCAGTTACAACAAATGACAAAGCAGCAACAAATGTGATCACCAGGAGCACCCTTCCTAACTAGGTAAGGCGTCGCGCCCAGCATGGACACACATGACGGTGGGGTTGATCTACCTTTGCTGCAGGCATCCTTGCCATTGACTAGTGGGTTAGTGCCTTACAGATCAGCTCAAGCTCGGGGCCACTGCAGGCCAGGCGCGGTCGCCCAGAACCCAGTTTACAGCCTAGCCATACGTGGGAGGGCTTTTCCTACGTTAAGCTTCAAACCTGAAACATCGTAAAACTACTTGAACAGCTTCAAAACTTACGACGGTAAGTGCAGCGATCCACCTAGAGTGGACGTGGTGCCGTCTGCGGAAGGGAGGTCAACCTTTCTACTCTCCAAGCGAACGCCTTTGATTATGGCGAGCGATTAATCGCGTTTGATTACAGGCCTTTGCACAACGCGAACAACAGGAAGCTCAAAAGATATCCCTTCCTTCACCCTCTTGGAAGTACGCAAGGCTAAGATTACGTTGAAGTGGCGGCTTCTCACTTGAATGTGGTTTTGAACTGAGTTATCCATTTCCAAGATCATTCCCTGCGATTCAGAGTCAGAAGTACCAGGGGAGCGTAGCAGTTAAACTGCGCGTCTGGGATACAAGGAGCACGGTACTCAATTCACGCGGTGCCCGCCTTTCGTGCCAGGGTGAGAGACAGGCGACACCACACAGCCTCACCAGCTGAGGTCATCGTAACGCCCCAATGACATACGCAGTTCACAGCCATGCCGTTCTTAGGACTTAAAACCCCTTTGTTGCTGAACATGATGTAAACGAACTTGTGCAGCCAATTTGATTTCACCTAAATATGTATGACGCCACAGAGGCATCATGTGAATATCTCGCCTCATTGCCTGTATTGTGCATGGGCAAGAACAATACGACCCCTGAAATGTTCGTATTTCTGGTGATTCAGCACCAAGTGTCCAACGATAGAAGGCAATTAGTTAACAGCCAGATCCGGCTGCCGATTGTTAGTCTCGATCACGAATAGATATTTGGGCAGCTACTAGTTATGACGGATGTGAGCCTGAAAATTGCATAGCTTACAAATAGCGAAGTAACTGCAAACGCAAATACAAACATACCACCTCAGAAATATGCATGAACGCCACATTTAGAGAGGCCAAATCACACGCACAGAACGATCGCGACACAAACTCTTCCGCATAGACCATAAACGCCACCTTGTGGAGCGAAGAAGCACCACAAGTGAGTCACTCCGTCCACTACGAGGGCAACTTTGACACGGCAAGTTTGGCAGCGACTCTGGCGTAAAAAAACATTAGGTGACGTCATCAAACGATGACGTATTGAGGAAGGTATTTACTGAAATAGTAAAATTGTGTTATTTTGAGAAGTATTTTGGACTTAAAAACACACTCACGGTTACAGGTGAGCCGTTTCCATCATATCTGATGATTAACTCAATGTATTCAAATGTGATAGTCCCTTTAGCAATGTTAATTGTATCAATCCCCGGCCTGAAACAATGTCCAACGCCTGCTCAAACAATGTCCAACTCATTTCAAGAAACACAAAAGTTCAGGAAGTCCCAATTATTGAGGGCGAAAACCTTCTGGAAATCACAGGGCCTATGCATTTGTGGAATGTTCTTATCGTCAGTGTCCTCCATTATGCCTGAAACCCAAAACCAAATGTTTTTTTCACCACATATCCACGGTCTGCCCATATCCATGGTCTCCTAGTCTGTACAAGCATAATTATTCACAGATATACTGTTTTTGATGGTCTTTTGACTAATGCCGCAACCTGAATCGTACAGCCTACTAATAGCAGACTAAGTGGCAACAAGTGACATGTCTAATGCTCAGATCAGTCACCAGACTCCACACTTTTTCCCATTTTCAACCCCTCCACCTGATTATGCATTTGTGATGCTGATCACAAACCATCCCCATGGTTATGCAAAGTTCAGTGTGACATCTCACAGACAATCTGGGTTCGGGCTCTACTTGAGCTAGAATTGCAAAGGAAAGGCAGGCATGTTGCTTTCATGGTATTTCATGGCATGGACTCAATGGTATCCAGGTAGAAGGCTTCAAAATGGATTAAAAGAACTTAACATATTTGCAGCCACTGCAGAGGAGCATATTACACTATACAACCCAGTACGTGTTTGCTATTCTCCATCAGAACACCCCCCTCCCTCCCCCTCACAAACTCTGTCAGGGGTATCTATTTGGCCCATTGGGATTGTTTTGTGTGGACCTTGACTTTCCCAATGTTGAGATATACACCCTAAAACTTGCTGAGGCCCAAATCTTTTTGGCTGGTGCAGTACACCATGCAAAAATACTCTTAAACAAAGCCTATCATCTCTGGTCATTACTTGCTGGCCATGAATAATGTGCTGTGCATGCATGAATATGCATGAACAATAATATGCATGAGAAATAGTACACACTATTTGCAACTTAAGAAAAAACAGTTCACTTTAAAAGCTAGGAATGCTAGAAAAAATGCCATTTATCACTAGAAAGTAGACCGAATATGATGGAAAACAACCATTTACGGGATGTTTGGCTATCAAGGCATCAGTCTAACAACCTCTTTCATCTACAGAAGATGATGCTCCCATCCTAATTCCGTAGCACGGTAAGACAATTCCTGGAAAAATATATTCCACACCTGTACTTAAAGGGAGTGTTCAACACTTATATAGGATTTTGAACTGAAATGGCCATCTTTAAGACCTTTTGGCAATGTTCAGAGCTCTGCCCTTCTTAAGACCTAAGCCCATCTAATATCTGAGCTACACACCTGTGGAAATGGGAAGAGGTATATCTCAGACAGTTTTTCAGTCACCTTGGTATTCATGCCATCATAATCACATCATTCAGATCCTTCCATTTCATAAGGCATGCAGTGATAAAGGCAGAGAAAGTATAATTGTTGAGGCATACATATCTGGCATTCCTGAGTGTGATCTCCAGATATCACAGCAGTCTGTCGGCTCCTGGTCGGTGATGTGCAAAGTATGATGACATGATCAAACCATGATGCATTGATGAGCATATTTACTTAATGGAAAATTGTGTAGTCTAAAGCAGCCTTTTCCACTTAAGAAGTATCCTTATAGTTAAAAGTGGGGTTGTTTCATAATATCTGATGCTTGCTTTAATATCTTTAAATGTGAAACATTGCCTTCCATGCATTTTAGAGGCTGGTTGAATGCCTGTCACTTGGGTAGTGGTCAACTTGACCCCCTGAGATCTCAGAAATTAAGATAGCTACACACACCCAGTTCACAGGATATCTTGGCCTATATATGATCTTAATTGTGTCAAAATTTAAGGTTCTTAGGTCATGAACTTTGCACTAAATAAGGTAAAACAAGGTCAAACTGTACATTGGTGTCCAAAGTGCTCCAAGACCTTCTCATGCCAGCTCTGTGAACTTAGGGCCTGTTCTAAGCAAAAGATCACTGGTGCTTATCTATGGTCAATGATCTTCCCAACCTTTTGAAGGCCATGGCAACAAAATCATACCAAGACAACTTTCATGTTTGCATTGAAAAAGCTCTACAGATTATGTTAGACAGTATGCTCTTTATACAAAACGTTGATCTTTGTCATTTCAGGTCTGTGACCTTTTCTAACATTAAGGAAGTCCATGGAAAATGTAAAATGTACTTACTGTTATCAAGCAACAAGAAATGAACACCTGACACCACTCTATGCAGGAAGCTCCAGAGCAATAAAACAGTTTGGTTTTAATGTTTATGATATTCATACTTAACTGAAGGTCAATTAAATTTATTAATTCCATTGTTGTGATACCTAAGAAGCTATCTAAGAGATGTATAGTTTCATCTAGCACTCTACTGCTGCATTTGATTGGATGATTCCCTAAAATGTCTTTTGCTGAATCCATAGCCAGATTTTGATCTGCTCACAGACAGCAAACTCACCAAGTACATCTGTACTCCCTGAAACCAAGCAATCCACTATTCAATTATCTACATCTATACAAAATTGATCCTGAGAAACCTACAAGGTGGAAATATTGATCCCTCCAACCAAAGCATGTGTTGAACAATCAGTATACTCACATCCTGATCCTTTCCTTTATTTTTGAAGTTTTGCAATCTTGACTTGACATTCTCATCAGAGGCCATGACACACTTGTTGAGGCACCTGCAAGCATGACATCATTTTAGGCAAAACATTTTGCCAGCAAAATTTTATGATGCCTAGGTACACCTGTCAATGCCTCTCATAGCAAGAAAAACAGTGAAAATGGCAGGCAACAATACACAACCCAGAAATTACCACAACAAAAACATGGAATCAATGAACATGTTCCTAAATTGCTCGATATAAATCCTTCACGCACTTGCATTCTTCAGATACACATATTATTTTACTACCAGGCTCAACCCACCACGACCCAGCACAACGCCCACCCCTTACAACTTCGCGCAACGCCTGTCACGCTGCACACTCCTGAAACTCACTGTAACTATTCAGCATAAGAGCATTTTCATCCTAGAAACCAACAATATTTTGGACTTTATTCATAAACACAGTTGAAAAGACACATAAGCGCCAATAACGAATGCGTTTAATGATTTCTCATCCCTATGTTGACATCGCTATGCCGTGGTTTTCTGCAGTTTTAGATACATCAAAAGGTAAAAATATTTTGATAATTTTGTAAAAAATTGTTCAAGTAAAAACTTACATATATTAACCGTTTGATCGCTCAAACCAACTATTTATCCCGATTGGTGTAATTCATCTCTAACGAAGAAGCTTCCTTTTCGGTTGTCCGTAGCGGTGGTAGTGGTGCGCTGTGGCTGTGATTGGCAGGCTGAGGCCTTATTCGTCACCATGAAGGTCTACAAAGACATCATTTCAGGTCAGAACACGTATAATTTTGTCCAGATATCGTGGAAGTGCCCGGGATAGCTGTGCTGATCGTTTTCGAAACCTGACACCATTGAACATCACGTCTCGCTTGCCGTCGCATACTCCTAAATCTAATTCAGGGGCATGAGTCAACCGCTTCGTCGTTCAAAGGTCGGGTTGATTGTTCACTCGGATCACCTTAGACAGGTATTTGGTGTTTTTGTGAAGGTGTCCAGGTGTTAGCCCTCTGTACCCCTTTGTTTTGATGGTTTTGCTTTGCCCTCTGGAGAATTCGTCTTTGCCCACGATCTCATAATGGTGAGTCATAATCATAGAATGACTCACTGTTGGCAAAGTCATTGAAATTGGTGTGCTCTTGAAAGGGCAGGAGTTTTATGGTTATTTCATTTTGTGTAATTTATTCCAGGCAGCCTGCAGATTATTCACATTGTTCCATGTGCTCAGTATGCACAGTTTGATCATCAGTGGTGCTTTCAGTGTATGGATTTTAACTCCATGAATTTTTATGTAAAGAAAAAGTTAGTATCAGCATCACCTTGAAAAGCAGGTATCAATGAATTATGAAATGGTAGCCCTATAAAGTACCATCTGCTCTATTGGTGACATTTTTATGACACTGGGTGATTTGAGGAATAAGGTTTCAACCCCATGTCATTTGGGATGTGCATATATGTGTATAGGCCCAATTTGCATGAAATGATTGTTACTTTTTTACAGTAGAAGGAATGTGTGTGATGGTTATTAAGGTATACAGTGATGCTTTCCTCGACATTTAATAATTGCATAAGAGAATTTCTCATAAAAGGTGGGCTTGCCACCATATGCTGGCACCAGCTGTAAACAGTACGTTCCGGAATTGAGGTGGTAATTGTGACTGAAGAGTAGGGTGTATATTATGAGCAAAGAAGGATAAGGCAAACAGGCATTTAAGGTAGTACTTTCCATGCCAGTATTCATGATACCAGCTTATTAAACAGCATTGTTTAAGCATTTTCAGCAGCATTTTCCAGCATTGTTTAAAGACAACTCCATTCAGGATTGACACTTAATTTTTTGCATTTCCATACACAACTTGTTGTATACTTAGGTGGTAAAACAGATTGCTTGCTATCGGACATCTAAGTCTGTTTGGCGCAAGATTTGTGCTCTTACAGATATCAATACATGGTACATGACAGGAGCAGAGAGTCCCGAGCTGTTGTGCCTTCTGATTTCATTTGGTTATGAAACGGAGGTAAAATGAGTTTCCAAAAGCTGTTTTTGTCATGTCCTGGTGGAGTACAAAATGTTTCAGTTTACCTAGTCACTATCTTCAAGTACAAAATCTAGTTTACATTATACCAGGAAATGTCAATTTTTCCAACACTGGTTACTGTATACTGTGGTTACTGTTACATCCTCCATCATGTAATCCAAGAGGTTATGTTGACTGGTGTATACAAGACCTTATCTTGCATAAAACACTGGCATCAATAAACAGCAGAGTATTAAACTCATCATATGACCTATTGGGAATGCACATGTGCTTCCACAGTCACAACCAGCAGATGATGTTCGAGAATTGACCATGATTTCTGCCTAGTCCATAGCTGCACTGAGCTGATCAGTTGCAGTTGGTCCATGGTCCCCACCCTAATATGACCAGTGGTTCTGTGAAGTAACAGGGCTATGAGCCAGCTTGAGAGCACACAACCACTGGAATCATGGAAGAGTTATTTGTTGGAGTCATGGGTGCTTCTCAGAGGCTGACTGGAGTGTGCTGCCAATGTTTGTGTGTCATCAGCTGGTGAAGAGATGTCAGCTTTGGTAGGACTGCCAAACAGCACAGCACACAGGTGCAGTAATATCTGCTACCAGCACCAAATGACAACATGCATAGATGGGCGTTTGAATCAGTATCCAAAGACTTGGGTTGTAAAACAATTGGGACTCCAACATGGCTCCAGGTGGCTGCAAATACCATTCATTCACTCACAATGCACATTGCATTTTTTAACTGTTGACAGTAGGTTGGCCTGCAAAACATCATTTTTGTCATGGATCAATCCTTGTGTGCAGACATTGGTCACATTGTGAGAGGGTAAGAATGTACCATGGCATATTTTGTAATTCTAAGTGTCTTGCAATGCCTGGGAACACCTTTCCTGGAACTAGCTTTTGAATCCCGACATCTCCTGTACAACTGCAGTGTTTCTGATTCTGCACTTTCTATTGTTTTTAGCTTGCATGCTAGATGACCACCGCAATTTGCAATTCTTTAACATATAGCCACCATGTGAATGCAACAACATTCCAAGATATTGTGGACCTTGCAATTTTAGGCATCAATGTGCAGGACAAAAAACTGACACGGGTTCCACGAGCACTTCACAAATTGTTGGGTGTGTAACTCCTTTTCAGTAAGCCCAGATATTTGGAGATGCTTGCAGGTTGATGGCATGACTGTTGTTCACCCCCTCATCTTCCTATTTGTCTGTTCTTATGATCCCCCTGGCCTGGTGTATGTGCTTTTGATCTGTAAAGGCATGATTGTCCGCATCTGCATTATGTGACAATCTTTTGTTTCCAGGAGATGAGATGTTCATGGACACCTACACCTACGAAACGATTCATGATGCCGTCTACCGGGTGGAAGGCAAGGTAAGAGCTGTCTTGACTAATCTTGTTAACCATATCGAGAGTCATGGTCATTGCAGTACAAGAAAGGGTGTATTACAGTGCACCAAAAATATTCTTTTCTATGTAATATCATGTAGAGTTTGCCGGAGGTGTTCGCAGTGTGACGCGCGTTCTGTTCACATATTCATAACTGTCGTGACGATAGCTGCGTATGCATAGGCACTGAGGCACGTTGGCAGGTGCTAACAATACTTCTGGCAATGGAAACTGATTTTTGCTGTATTCAACATATAAAACACCTTATTATTCGTCGTGGATCTTTGGTTTGCAAATTGTATTGCATTGTATTCCTTATGATGGAACCTATTGCGCCACTTTGCCTTACTTCGATCAAGTATCGGAAAACGATTCTGCGCGTATGGCAAATATTTCACGGGAGGTGATGTAGAATCTTTGTCGAACGGGTCGCTGTACACCAGGAGACGCAGAATCCATTGGGTATGACGTCATAAGTGACGTTGACGGCATTTATTTTTCGTTGTCTGGGTCGCTGCAAATGCACCGTAAATTGTAAGCACGCAAGTTTCGTTTTTTTGTTCTTTTAAATTGTGGGAAATACTTGTGCCACCTGGCAGGGGAATGACATTGCAGTTACAAGGTCGCTTTTGTGGTTGGGGAATGGAGGCAAACATGGTTTGTTTGTCTTGCACTCCGCAGACTCCGCATCAGACTAGGCCTCCACAAAATGGCATTTGAGTTCGCTGGATGAATTGCTGTGTTGTGTATTATGCTGCGGATGTGTTTTATGTGTATTTCAAGGTAGTAAACAAAGGTTTTGGCGTGACATGGCGAAAGCAGCACATGATAATACAGCGGTTATGGTTTGGTACTGTCCGATGCAGTAGGTTTTGGTTTCGTGAGAAATTTACGTATATCATACAAAGCAAGCGAACAAGACTAACCCGGATTTGGTCCCGCCTTTCTGACTTCGTTTTTTCAGTCTCCTCTTGTTTACTCATCACGTCTGATTTATGCGCGTCAGTTTGCGTCATTAGGCCACGCGGACTCGGTGGGGACTCCTTTCAACGGACGTGAGTTGTGCCCTGAAGCCCTGACGTAGCAAAATTGCACGCTGGACCGCGGAAGGACTTGGGTTCCCGGGTCCAGATCCAGTGTACCGTGTACCCGTGCACCCGTGCACCGATTGGGTGTCTGACGGGGTTATGCCGTACGTCGTAACATCATGACTGCGGGTTCACATAAGCCGTTATGTGGACATGCAGTGGGCCACGGAATAGCGAGGCTTAGCATGGACCGTGCTAGATGATAACGGGAGAGGGGAGAATATAGGATTTTCCACTGACTGCGGACGAGCAGAACTGATATATGGGCGGGTTGGCTTGGATGGTTGCGCCCAGCGTGCTCTCTGCTGGACGACTTCGGGGAGGGGGGGGGGGGGGGGGGGGTGCTGCCGACAGTACATCACGTACATCTGTCACCGCCGGCACTGCTTCACGTGCATTGGCTGCTAACAGCAGTATGTGACGTACCTAGTCGCAGCACATGACTTGCGTCGCCCGCTGCCCGCAGTACATCACGCGCAGCAAGGTGGGCGAACTGGTGCTGGACGGTGCCAACCCGTCGGCCGAGGATGCTGAGGAGGCGACCGACGACGACAACGAGTCGGGCGTGGACGTCGTGCTCAACATGCGCCTCACCGAGACCGGCTTCAGCGACAAGAAGGCTTACATCTCGTACCTGAAGGATTACATGAAGGCGATCTGCACCAAGCTGGCCGAAACCAGCCCCGACCAGGTGGACACCTTCAAGAACGGTTCCAACGCTTTCATCAAGGAGAAAATTGGCAAGTTCAAGGACATGCAGTTCTTCCAGGGTAAGTAGTGGCTGCCAGTGGACTATGAGGAATTGTGCCATTCGCCGTTTCCCTTCAGTTCAGAGTACGTGCAAAGTTCAGTACCAGGGAGCTACGTCATTTCAGTTGCACTGCGCTGCTCCACCATTTGCGTGTCTGTGTTAATGCCTGTTGTTTGCATTTCATGTTGAGAGATCTGAAGATTGA